CCCCAAAACCCCAAAACCCCAAAACCCCTGTATGATATCTAATAGTTGAGTGAGAAATAGGGGTTCAAAAATTATAAATTAGTGGATAAGGTTCTTCCTACGCTTATTCATAGACATCTTCGCAATTTTAGGCTTTGGCATTGGTTTTATAACCTCCTCTTGAATGATCTTAGTCTTTTCGAATCCATATTTCTGAAGGAAACCTTCTGCTTCATCGAGATCTGCTTCCATTCCTTTTAGAGTAAATCTCTTGAGTGAATCCTTTAAGTTAGTCTCTGAGATGGCTTCAAGAAAAGCGCCAAATAAAGTGTTATTGAGAGTCCCACAGAATTTGAATGTGTCCTTGAGGATAATCTCTTGGTAACTTGCAATCTTGTCTTCAACTTTGACTCCTGCATCACAGATCAACACTCACGAAATAAGGCTTAGAAATTGGGCTTTCTCTGAAGCGTTCAGCAAAGATTTCAAACATGTAGTTGAAATATTAAGATTATGCAGACTAATCTTCCGTCTAACTACTTTCAAAGTTGGTTGTAGAGGCTCAATGTACCTGCCAAGTGAGGTCATTTGAGATTTATCATTCACGAAGATATTTCCAAGAGTCTTTGGGGCACAATTAGTCAAGAACTTCTTCAAATTTTCAAGATCGTTTCCTGTAAATCTTGCAATACTCTTGATCCAAAGTTCATCATAGGATGGAAACTTATAGTCTAATACAGAAGCTATGAAATACTTGTCTTGCTTCTTTAGGCCTGTTAGCCAAAGTATGTAAGCCTCGTGGACTGATGGAATGGGCTCTCCTTTAATATCTTGTAATCTCTTTAATATTTCAATTGTATCTAAATGTTAATAATGTGAAAACTTACCTGGAGCTTCCTCGAATATTCTCTTTACTTCTTCCCTTCTTGAATCTTCAGAAGGATCTTTCTGAGACAATAGGTATGATCTGGTCATTCTTTTCCGTTCTCTTTTTCTCTCAGCAAAAAACAGTGGAGCCTCCTTGTAGGTTGGTTTAATTTCATCTTGAGTTACTAGTTGTTTTTCAAGAGAAATGAGAGGCAATTTCTTCTCTTCTTTCTCTTCTTTCTCTTCTTCTCTATCGACTTCTGGTTGCTTTATCTCATAATGACCTTCTTCGTCGCTTGAAATTGTTACTATTTCACCTGATCTAAACCTTCTTCTTTTATAGTTTGGTACTGGTTGAGGAGTTTTATAACACTTTGCCCATTTCAATAAATTCTCAGAATTAGTAGGCACTAGGGTAGTCTGTCTATCTGGTTTGTATAGCTCGTTTCCCATTGAATTTATCAAATAATACCTGAGACTTCAGGGAGTCTGGAGGTAAATATTTCTAAGCATTAAGGGATTTCAGACTTTGATGAAGTAATTTTCCAGAAATTTCAATATTTTATTAAAATATTGGGGTTTTGGGGTTTTGGGGTTTTGGGG